CTGCTCCAACACACCTGATTTGAATGAATAGATGATTTTCAGGATCCTGCAGAACTTGGAAGAGGCAATTCACTGACTGAATCAGGTGTGTTAGAGAAGGGAAAAAAGTCAAACATGCAGGGCTGCGGACCTCGAGGACCAGCATTGACTATCCCTGCTCTACATACAACTAAAACCTTTTTTGTTAAATTCAGGTGAGAAAAGGAAAAATAAAAACTTTTATGTGTGTTCAGATTTCAATAACTATTAGTTACAGTTAAACTAATTTTTAATGCTGAGTGTTCAGAGTGTTACCTTCACTGAATAGCAAGCTTTTGCATCAACTCTTAAGGGTTCAAGAACAGCATCTAATTTATTGTGGGTGTCTTCAGGCATTTTATGCCATTTTTTTGCAGCTAACAGGTTAAGTAACATAGAGTCAAGAACATCATTGGAAGGTGAGGTTGAAGTAATGGTGATGTTACAGGTAATATTCCTGTAAATAATGTAAAGAATTTAAAAGTGCATGGTGGTGTTGTGGTTCAAGACTCCTGTTGATTTCTCTTCCCGGTTATTTCCCCATGTTCTAAAGTAATCTTTTGGATACTTTATTTTCTCAGACCACACACAGTAATTCTCTCTTAACTCAAGGATCACAATTTAAAAACTAACTAAAAGAAATAATATTCGTGATGTAAGAACTATAAGGACAAACTAATTAATTGTTTCACAAGTATCTACTTCAACACGCCTCAGTTGAACTGTTTGGAGAAGCAGCAAACAAAAACAAAAACTACTTTCAGATAAAAGGAACGTGAAACAAATGTCAGAATAACTCCTGAAATCATTAGAACTCCATGGCCATGTGTTAAACCCAGTCTGTTGTTGCAGTCTGTTTTCACAWTTATTAAATGATTTGTCTCTTTCTTAATGTCATTGAAGGGCAGCAGGCCTTTGTCAAAAAGCCACTAATTTGCAGCCCTAATGGTCATAGCTCTACTGACAGTCCAAAGGCACTCTGAAAAGCACAAAGATCATTTCAGGCTTCCACCCCCCTCATCCTTTACTCAGGATTGGAGGCTGAGGATGGTGGGACAGACGGAGGACAGAAGAGGGGGGGTTGTGGGGCTCTATCACAGACACTGATCTGCTCTGAGCTGTTCAGTCTTGCTGTCCAGGACCACCCGTCTTTTGTTGTCCATAGCCCATCAGTCGTCTTTTAACCTTCTGGCTTTGATGGGACAGAATCAGTAGTTCTGATGTTTGAGCTTTTGAAACTTAAAATATTCATATTGCTTTCTAAGCTGAAGTTGTAAGCTGTTGAGCCGTGTCCCTTGCAACACTAGAGGACAGTTGAACAAAAATAGTGGTATGAAAGAGACTGAATTTCACACTTTGGTCTTTGGCATCTTTGTGTAATTAAAATGTAACTTTTAGGTAAGACTTTGCTGAAAGTTGTAAAACATCAACCTCAAGAGGTCCAATAAAGGGAGAGTATGTTTATGTGTGCGTTTGTTGAGTGTCTGAATACACACACAATATAAATGTCTCTGGGTATAACTGAGCATGGCTCAGTGTCTCCTCCACCCACCCCACCCCCCACTCCCTGCTTAGTGAAGCTCAATCTGCTCTGTCTGGAGTCTGGTCAATATTTTAGCCAGTAACACATTTATATCAACCTTTTATATGAGAATGTTTTTCCTTTTAGTTTGCACAAATCAATGCCAAACATAATACAGCTGGAGTTTAGTAATTTTTTGTTACTTTTGTTTTCATAGATCTCTGTGTATTTGTGCTTGCATAGATTGCATTTCCTAACATCAGCCTCGGGTCATGAAACATAATAACAGTGACACAGTTTTCCTTGTGGCAAAAAATCTATATCAGTTTGATACTATCGTTTTGGGACTCTACCATGACAGTAACATCAGTGATTAGTCTTCCAGTCAGAAGAAAATCCAAGATGCATTAATTAACTGAGAATAGCATTTATTATCAAGTGTTTTTCATGTCTGTTGGTTGAAAAGGTATACTGCTGATTGCTTTGCTTTGTGTGAGTTTTATAAAAAATGTTTGAGGAAAAAATAGTTTCCTAGACAGCTAGACAAGCGAACACATCCACACATGAACACACACTGGGTCAGTTATGTGATCGTATGCCTTTAATGATGGCAAGCAATAATAAACTGACTTGGCTTGGCAGTACTGCAGTATAAATACTTGCAGGGTTAGGGTTTCTGCAATAACTGGATTTAAACAGATGTAGTTTAGTTATTTTAGAGTTTGCAAATGTTTGTAAAGAGCCCCTGAAGGAAATCTGTACAGAAAATACTGCAACTTAGCATTTAACAGAAATACAACCTGGATGATCATTTTACATACGATATGTAAGTTATTATTTTGTTCCTTGGTCCTGTCTTTGTTCAGAGGTTTACCTCAATGACTTTCTCTGTTAGATATTTTTAAATCCATTTAATCTTGTTCAATCCTGTTCACCTGATCAGACCTAAAGTGGACTTTAAAAAGTACTTTATGTCATAAAGTGGAAAGTTTTCAGAAAATTGTACCTTTAGGGATGTTTTTTTTTTACATGAAAACATATATTTTTATTTCCAAAGCCAAATGGCAGCAATAAAAAGAACACTTGTATCAAATAAAGTGAATAATAACAGGGAGTAACTTTTGATTAAAATAAAATGCTCTTATTTGAGAGAAGAGAAGAGGTTTTGTAATGATTCTAGCTTAAGAGCAAGAAATTTAAGAAGTCAGTCTGATTGTTTTTGTTTATTAGTTGTTTACCTCTGAGTCATTAAAGTGTTCAGTTTGACACATCTGAGCAGTCTGACTTTAAAGCTTCAGTTTCTGAAGATATAAAACAGTATGAAAAGATGAACTTTGATACTTTTTTAGATTAATAATTCAACCTTTTATATGTATTAGTATTCTTATTACAATTATTTTAATGTCTTAAAAATTATAACATTATACAACCTTTATGTTGTGCAAACTGGCTCCACCATCTTTTATTTTGTATAAACACCTGTAGTTTAGTTATGCTGGTTTATTTCTGTGGCTCCTGCCTACTCCTTACTTCTGGTTTTGATTTTTAATAGCYGCACCTGCGTTTTAGTTGTTTGACTAGAGTGAGGGAGTAATTCACAAATGTTGTGTTTTTGTACTTTCTATAGTTAGAAGAAATACTCAGACTGTACATTTGATGCCACTGAGAGTTATTAAGCTAAATTAGGTGAATGCAGGATTACTCAAACTGTAAGTTGCATTTATTAGCTGTAGAGGTATAACAGACCATGTGGGGTGTTATGTGGGAACTTGCAGAATAAAACGGGCTAAACTGATGTTGCAATCAGTCCTAAAAATTTCAAAGTTATGAAATCCGGTGGAAGGAAATTGTCTGTATTTATCATTACAAAATATACCAAACAGGAAAAGTCAAATTGAAAACAGGAAATGAGTCATGTGTGGACTTACAGAAACAATAAACAAACAAACAAAAAAATAAAATAAGAAATACATAAAAAAATTTAAATAATTACTTTAAACTTTTTATTAAATATAAAAAAATGCTTAAAACGTGTTAAACAGAAAAGCAGAGCAGCAGCATACTTTGAATAAAACAAACAACACAATTTGTTTCCATCTGGATATAACTTACTTTAAAAACCATGCAGTTTTGTTTGTAATTAACTAACTTTTCATGGCTAAAGAAAGACTTCAGTTTTTGTTTTCTTGGAAAATTCTGAAAATTTTACTAACATAAAATAAAACTTAGACCTGGCTCTCATTTTTTTGGTATTTAATGGTTGCTGAAAGCAGTTTCTCTGGATTACTTTGAACGTGTTTCTGCAAGATTTGATTATCTTAATATTTATAGCAATATAAATTTATCATCAGTTCTTCGATTAAGGCTGTAGATGTTTCTTTAATCTTATTTGATTTTTGGTTTTATTATTGTACATGTCCATAAAGTACACACAAATTGAAAACTCCACCTCCCTGCTAGGATGCTGCTAGATGATGTGGAAAGTAGAGTGTGATTTAAGGCTTTTATCATGAACAATAAAACACCATGGATGACCCAGAAGTGGTGCAACTGAGTTCTCAGCAGTTACATGATAAATGTTTTTGTTTTGATTTCAAAATGACATTTGTCCTTATAAAAGCCTTTGACCCTTACTCTGTGTTTGTGTGCAACACTGGGTGGTTGAGACAGAGGCTCAGGGACATATGCAGTTGTTGACTCTTGCATAACATGAGCCTAACATGAATTTTATTTTTCTTTCTGCCATGGGTCATTGTGCTCCAAGTGTCTACAACCCCATTATGTCAACGTGCTATGTCAAAYGACCACCAAACTAAATCCCCCTGGCAAGAGCATTGTATCCCAGATGTTACAGTAGACAATGAAATTCCTGTTGCACATGCAGTAATCTCATTTGCAGTTTTTTTATTTATATACATTACATCATTAAAAGCATTCTCAAAGCTGGTGCTTTCATCAACAGGAAGTCATTTCAGAAACCAACACTAACTCCAGAGTTTATGGAGAATAAACATCTGTCATGGTGAATTTTAGTGTGATAAATCTTGTTTTTTGTTTTTGTTTTTTTTGTTTTTGTTGTTATTTGTGGAACACTTTTACATCCTAGCAAGGTATTTGAAATAAAAGTACTTAATGAAGCTTCCCCAGCTTTGGTTTATTGACCTTCATTCATTTTAATTTTAGAAAATAATAGATGGTCTTAAAATATTTTAGAGTACACCAGCAACTTTTAGAAACCAGCCAAATGAAGTATCAGAAAGCATGTGGATATGGAGACAAAATTAAAAATATGAAAAGTATGAAGCTAGGGACAAAAAAATTTAATTGTAATATGCAAAATGTAAAGAAAAAAAATCACAAGTGAAGAAAGCATCTTTGTCTCTTCTTGCTTAAAAATTGAGAACTTGTTTAGTCAAAAGGTTACACATTATTCATAGATGTCTTTGTTGTCTCTCTGCAGATCTTTGGACGGCCGGCTGCAGGTGTCCCATAGGAAAGGTCTTCCCCATGTTATCTACTGCCGGCTGTGGCGCTGGCCTGACCTGCAGTCTCACCACGAGCTGCGTGCGGTGGAGCTGTGCGAGTACGCCTTCCATACAAAGAAAGATGAAGTGTGCGTCAACCCATACCACTACCAAAGGGTGGAGACGCCAGGTACGGCAGCTTGGATCAATGAAGTTGTTAATTTAAAAAATAAAAGAAGACAAATCCAAGAATTTCAGGGAGGATGTTCAAGAATTTTGTAAAAGTTAATTTTTTCGTCAACTTCTGGTAAAGCCTTATCTTCATAATCATAGTCTGTTTACAATCCACTTCATGTCAGTTTGTTTTTGTCGTGAAGGTTAAGATAAGAAATCAGTCACTGTTGCAATATTCTGAGGAATTGCTTGTTGTCTGACTGTGTTTCTGACTTTTTTGTCCATGTCTTAGTCCTCCCACCAGTACTGGTGCCCAGACACACAGAAATCCCCAGTGAGTTCCCACCCCTGGACGACTACAGCCATTCAATCCCTGAAAACACCAATTTCCCTGCTGGCATCGAGCCTCAGAGCAACTACATACCAGGTACCAGTACTCTTCCATAGATGACTCACAGTGAGGGTCAGGTCATGGTGTGTTGAAACATGTTGGCAAAATGCTGTTTGAGATTCGACACCTGAGACAAAAGGCCACAGTGAGGAGTTTTTCYTTTTAAGTTTGAGTGAATAAGTGAATGCTTACAGATATTCTCTAAATAAAGGGCTTTGTAGTGGTGGGGGTAGGTCTCACATTCACAAATTAGAGGGTAATACACTGAGAGAAGACAAGGAGAGGCTGGAAGAAGGTGAAAATGAAATGTTGTGAACAAACAGTTGTATTTATTTGGGATTTTTAATTATTTTCAGTGGAATTCTTATGTATTTACAGTATATCTGTCTTTTACTAATTTAATGCTGACTATTCCTAAAATTCTGAATATTTTTTTTTAATCCAATTTCTTCTTCTGCCCTTAATGTAATATCTCACTGGGCTGTGATTGTTGGTGACTTGTTGGCAAACGGCTCGTGACGAGTCTCCAAAATGTCTCAAAAAATGTTCATAATGGTTAAGTTATTTGCAGAGGCTCGCAGTTCAAATAATTTGTGTGACAAATTTTCCCTCAAAATAGCTGTGGGGTTGTTGCAGGCACCTTAAAGCCATCTTGATCCCTTCTCAATTTAGTTTTTGGTTTTCCACTTTGAAACCTGCACACTCACTTTGTACAGAAAACATCCAAAGTGATATATGTTCAGGTATAAAAAACATTTCAATCATGATATTTATTTCTACAATTTAAAAAAAAATGCAATGAATCTTATGCTGTTGGAAAGCCTGTTGAATTCACTTTTAAACGGTGCCACATTTGTAAGGAACATGCATCTGTGGGATGAGCATCAGAGCGGAGTATGTGGGTTGTCCACATGAAAAATCTGCCAAATCTTCTCTGCTAAAAAGGTTAATTTACTGTTGATGTTGACACTTGTTTTGAGCTTCTGGTCCCCCCAGGAGCTGCCAATCAGGTACATGATATAAGATTTATAATCAAGAAGCATTGTTACAACAAAGAAATAATCTACCAAACACAAATTAAATTACTTTTTGTGCTAAATGTTGGGGCAGTTGTCAAAGTGGGCACAAAACGGGCTAAGGCCTAGAATAGAGTTTAGGAAGCTGTGTGCACAAACTTGGGTTGTGATTTTAAAATTTTATCTACAAAAAGAGGGCTGCACAGTTCGCTGGTCGCAAACACAATTCAATGAGACTGCAATGAAAAATTAGCCTGTTGTGTCACCAACATTCAGCCCAGTTAAATACGAACTTTACCTCTTGGTTTGGTCTTGGATGGCACTCAGAATCTTTAGGTTTGGGTAGGTTAGGAAATTATAAATATATTGTCATTATCTGTATAAACCAGGGATTTGCAGCAGTTCTGTTGAGCAGCTGTRTCTTAAGTTGTTGTCTTTGTGTGTYATTGTCTTCTCAGAAACGCCACCACCAGGTTACCTCAGTGAGGATGGAGAGACTAACGATCACCAGATGACCCACAGTATGGACACAAGCTCCCCAAACCTTTCACCAAACCCTGTTTCACCCACGCACAGTAACCTGGGTAAGAACTGYTCGTCTCTGTGGATTTTCCTTCTGCTCATCTTCACTTGCAGACAAAATGTTTCTCTGGTGTATGCTCCCAGTGGGAATTCTCTGTTTGGTTTAACTACGGTTTTTACAAGAGGAAACGAGGTGATGAAAGAAGCTTTTGTCCTTCACACCCACAGTGTGAGCTGTTGGGCCAAGACACTGTGCAGTTCACACTAACATCAATAAAAATATCCTACGTTTGTTCTCTCAGGATGAGAAAACCCCGAGGGGACATGAGCTGGAATGCTGTTAGCTTAAATAAGAAAATGACACCAGTTTTACTTGGCAGCAGCGTCTCGTTCTTGTCTGAACTTTAAAGAGTAAAAGATGAAGTTGTTAGAGCGTGTTCCTGGTTGAGGAGAAAAGAGCAAATTACCAGAACTAATAGGTCTAATTTGACCTTTTTGGGTCTAGTTTTCCATGAGTGGAAATTAAATTTACTTACTTTCTCTGGTGAAAACTTTGGGGAAAAAATGTTTAATGTGTTTTGAACCAAACTTTCACTATTCACCTTTTTCACCCCATATTTCATGTTTTGTCTCCTGTTTATTATCATTTTTTTCTCATTTCTGTTTTCTCTCTCACTTGTTTTGTTGTCTGCCTGATTTATTCCATCATTTGTTTGTTTATTTAATGTGAATTAACTTAATATTCCCACAGCACTTACTGCAGTGTCTGGCTACTCTCTTACAAGCCAGACAGACCTGTACAATTCAGTCTATTCACAGACATTGTACACAACACAGTATGAAACTCCTGGTCTCTTTGTTTTTGTTTTAATCAAATCAGTCGTATCKTTCTCTGTCTCAGACCTCCAGCCAGTCACATATTGTGAGCCGGCCTTCTGGTGCTCTATTTCATACTACGAGCTGAACCAGCGAGTAGGAGAGACCTTCCACGCCTCGCAGCCTTCACTGACAGTGGATGGCTTCACAGACCCCTCCAACTCCGAGCGTTTCTGCCTTGGCTTGTTGTCCAACGTCAACCGCAACGCAGCTGTGGAGTTAACACGCAGGCACATCGGTGGGGCTCAGCACTTCTGTCAAATCAGCCTGGTGTCAGTCAAATGCAACCCATAATTACTGCAGCTGTTAATGACCTCTAATGCTCTGTCTCCGTTTCTTTCTAAGGGCGTGGCGTGCGGCTGTACTACATCGGAGGAGAGGTGTTTGCAGAGTGTCTCAGTGACAGTGCTATCTTTGTCCAGAGCCCCAACTGTAATCAGCGTTATGGTTGGCACCCTGCCACAGTCTGCAAGATCCCTCCAGGTGTGTGTCCAAAGTACACAGTCAGCAGGAAAACATTAGGTGTGATGAGTTTGGAAGACAAGAGTGGAGATGGGTAGCAGGGTTGGGAACATGTGCAACTGACTGTCAAAAAAAGCTCATAATTAATATTTGGCACTTTAAAATTTCTGCAATTAGTGACTCATACTGTAAAAGTCAATGAGGTGCAGAGCTATCACTGATTCTAACACGGAGCTAATGCTAAGGTAACCCTYCATATTTTCAGCTACCAGCTAGGGTTAGGCTAAATCGTATTGTGTGTAATACAGAGGTGCCCAAAATGGGGCCCTTGAACCAAAATTGGCCTGCCAAGCCATTTGATTTGGCCCACCAGCAATTACCCTGATTACTCACCTGTTATTAGATTAGATTTAAGCACAGATTTGCACACATACTTATATTTTATCAATTAATGAAATATCCCATGAACCTTTGCTGCCCAACTATATGTCAAACTTTTTTCAAGTGCATGGAGCAAAAAAACAACAAACAAGATAAAGCTAACAAAACATAGACCACTGCACTGGCAGCTGTCTTAATCACAAAAATCAAAGAACTTCACTTAAAAAGTATTTGCATTTCATGTATTATTTTATTGTATTTAGCCCACAGCCCTCTGATAGATTTTTATTTTGGCCCTCTCAGGGAAAAAGTTTGGGCACCCCTGGTGTAATAAAGCTTCAGAAAAACTGTCACGGCTAATATTTGGCACTTGGTCATGACTGTAAATCATTGCGGTGCAGAACTAAGGCTAATTCTAGCACAGAGCTAATGCTAAGCTAAAACTAACTCTGCCCTAGAGGCGAAAACATGCATGTGCAGTTGTCATCTACTATCATTATACAAGAATTAATCCTGATAATTTTTTGTACCAAAATTGCCCAACCCCATCAGGTTGTTCTGTTGATTAGAGGAGGCACAGCTCTTGTCTGTAAGCCTTGAAGCCAGTCTGGCTCCTTTTCCTCTGTGTGTGAGTTGATGTTTTATAAATAAAATGTATGAAACCATTCTAACATCTGAAAAGAAGCAATGAGGTCAAAACAACAACAAARGGCAATGCTGAATAAGCTGTGTGAAATTGTTGGAAAATGCATCTGAAGACAAAGTACAATATCTTATTTAGGTTTTATGCAAAAAAAAAAACACACACACACTTAGTGAAAGTTCAGCGAAAGCACTTTCAATGCAGCAAAATAAACATGGGAGGAACTTGCTAGCCAAACAGTGATTTGACATGTTTATGTGTTTAAACTAGATGATTTAGAGCAGATGTGCTGTAAATGTACCATCACAACCATGAGAGAAGGAGGCCACATCTCATCACTTTCATCACCATCAGTCCACAGATGTTTTCTCTGGTTTATGTGTTGATTGTTTTTTTTTTCATGCAAATTCCTCAACACATTTTCCAGAACTATTTGCTGAGTCTGTAGCCTCTTCTACACACAAATGTAACGGCTCTTCTTACATCTACAAATCTGTTATTTTATTAGGTCAAGTATTCTCACTGTACTTCACAGTTAAAAAAATGTCATATTAACAAAACAAGAAATAAAACAAGTGAATTTAAAGAGAAACTTGAGGTGCTAATATATATGTTAGAATGACAAAATGAACTTAAAAAAAACAGCAGTTGTTGTCTTGCTTCTCTGGTGTCACAATCTGTGTCTGTTCTTCCCTCTAGGATGCAACCTGAAGATTTTCAACAACCAGGAGTTTGCTGCCCTGCTGGCTCAGTCAGTCAACCAGGGCTTCGAGGCCGTCTATCAGCTTACCAGGATGTGCACCATCCGCATGAGCTTCGTCAAGGGCTGGGGAGCTGAATACAGGTAAACTGAAGTTACAGATCTTTGTGTGGAACTGCACAAGATGTTTAGGATTTGTTCCTCATTCCACAAATTCAGTTTGATAACTCGCATTTTGATGTTGATGATTTAAGGCAGCAAAACAAACCTTATTTAAATGCTTGGTTTCTATCCAGTAACTGAATGTAAAAAAGCATCCTATTATAGAAGCATTTATTTATTTATCTATGTATAAAATAAAAGACTGGTCCTTGGGGAGTATGCTGAGGAAAGTTCTGGACCCTTAGCAAATTATGTTGTTGACCCAGCAAAAAACAAACACAACTTAAATTGTGTGGATTTTAGTTAAAAATAAAGTTTAGTTATAACCGGGCCCTGTGATGGATTTGYGACCTGTCCAGGGTGTACCCTGCCCCTCACACTGTGACTGCTGGATATGGGTACCAGTGACCCTAGAAATGGAACAAATAGGTATGGATAATGGATGGATGGATGAAAGTTATAACTACAACTGATGTAATCCTGTTGAAAGTTCCAGATTAGGGCTGCAAAATTTATCGTCATCGCAATAACGTCCTGTGCAATAGGCATATCACAACAACTGCATAAACTGCAATAAATGKTTGGCTCAAAATTAGCWTTTATGAGTTTTGTCTCTCAGATGGAAGCTTGAAGTATTTCACCAATCAAATGGAGACCTTCATGTGTTTGGTCAATTGGATGGATATCTTCATACATTTTAAAAATTCATGCTGCAATAGAAATGTTTATTTTGATTTTTTTTTTTGCTCTGAACCCAGAACAGAAAGATATCAACACTACACACTTATGTATTTGTTTATTTATCGCAAGTCGTATTGTCAGTGCAGTATTAATCACTGTTATTGCACATTTTCCCAATATCGTGCAGCCCTAAAAACTGGAACCAGACTATTGGTGTAAGCAAAAAATGTTGCCTTCAAGAAAACTAAATGAATTTTAAAATATAAAAGTAATGTGTACCATTTATGGTCTAATGAACTTGTTTTAATATTAAGTTTAAATTGGATATTATTACATTTTGAAACTACCTTTCAGCCTTGATAAATAAACCTAAACAAACATACTTTTTTTGTCCCACAGATGGTTGGTTAGAATCTGGTCCCCCTGGTCCAAGTTTAAATAAATACTAGTCTCCCACTTCATTTGTGTTTTTAACGCTTTAAAACCCTATGAGGCAAGCTGAACTCCTCACAGAACAACTGTGAATGTAAACGCAGACAATAGAAACAGACTGTGAATCACATCTCACAATCCAGCACCTCCGCTCACACAGACACATCTGCTCACGCTCTGGTGAATCCGCTTCATGACGTCACGTACCGCTGGTCAATAGAAGCAGGCCCCAGCAGGCACGCCAGACTATTTTTAAACAAACACACATGTGCTGTGTCAAAAAGCTATGTCAGACTTTCCCTCTTTCATGGCTCAGAGCTTTCCACATAGTTTGACTCACTGATAGTAGAAAAGGAGGAGATGGAAAAAAAAAAAGAGAAGGATTGGCTGTACGTTGGCCCTGACCCACAAGGTTTCCAGAGGGAAAGACCTTTGTGCTGCGAGCGACTGTTCACCACTCCTGTTCAGACCAAACGCTGACATGTGGAGACACTTAAAGACCAGAGTCGGATTACGTGATCAGCCAGGCCTCTTTCCTTCCTCCAACCTCTGCCTCATTCCCTGTTTCCATTCTTGTTTTTCTCATTTATTCCCTTCATCAGGTCTTTTTATTCACAGAAAAACCAACATCCCACTAAAAACAGAAATATAAAGATGAAAAGGAAAGAACACTCTTTTAAATCAATTTCTAAAAGGCAAATAGCTTCACTGATAAAGAATGAAGTATGAGATACAAAGATGAAACTAAACTCTAATACAGTAGAGCAGAGTGAAACCAAAGTGACAGGAAAAGGAAATGATGACTGTTTCAGCGGTTGTCTTATCTCTCAGAAGGCGAATGTGGTTCTTAATGAAGCAAAACAAAAACAAAGCAGATGGTGGAGTTCAGAGGCAGCTTTGGTGCTTGTGGGACAGTGAAATTTGAATCTTTATAGAAACCTGACCCACCTTTTTATAATGCATACTCTATTTTATTTCTGTAACACACTGCACAGTATTGTAGCTGATTGGTTTTAGCTGTCTCTTAACCTATTGAAGGCTGTCATCTATTTTCTCTGATCGCACTTCTTATATGTTACTTGAAACACTCACTTGTAGATGTAAATCTAATGGATACGTTCTGAAAGTTTCTTTAAATTCATGCACAAGCTAAAAATTACAGATGGCAATAAGAAAAATCAGTGTTTTAGCCTGTATAATGCAAAAACTTTTACCCAAAATATCATCCTTGAAGTTTTTTTTTCTAATGTACTTTGATAATAACTATCAATTTATGCTTGTGTATAACTGAAATATATTCTCGTGCTCAATAGGACCAGACGGACTGAGCTGTCCATCTCGCTAATTTAACATCCAGCTTCTGCTGTTAGACAGGACCATTTTTCAGTGACWTGAAACTCGTGTTGCTCCTCTGCAACCTACACCTACAACCTCCCAAGTGTGTGTCCCTCAAAATATTCTGTTTCCCCATGAAATTAGGGGTAACATTCTGCATGAGGGTTAGATTCCTTTAAAAAGCTGCCAAAGGCTTAAAATGCTTTATGCTTGAGCAAACTATGATCTCAGCATCACTGTGTATTTTTCACATGAGTGTTTTTTAATGATCTTTGAGGCTTCAAATTGGACAGATCATTAAAGCAGCTTCTCCATTGACAAGTATTACTCTAATCGCTTCAATTCGATTCTGCTCAAGTGTAGTTCTGTCTCCATTGTGAGTTTATCTCTCACTCTGCAGCTGCTATCGTAGTCCGGATCGTGAGGGGGCAGGAGCTCCAGTCGACGCTCAGTTTATATCATTTTCCAGCAACACTCCACCATGGAAACACGTCACGGTTGTGTTTTTTTTCATTGTGCTATTTCTTATTATGAGACAGAAAATGACATGCAYTGAGGAGTTGCAAGCCCCGCCTTGRCTCATCCAGTGACAACTCTGATGGCCAATCAGCAGCTTTGTCAGCTTTCTTATCGATTCGGTTCGGTTATGGAACCATAAACTGTCAATGGAGAAACACCTAACTGGTGTGGAGTCGAAGTGAACTGAAGAGAATCAAGTTCATGGAGAAGGAACCAGTGTTGTTGCTTCATTCATCTTCAGAACTTTATATATGAGAACAAAGTTTAAATGTTGACCAACACCTCAAGAGCTTCTCTGAGCTTGATGAGACATTTTCAACATATAATAGTAACTTAGTTTTATGTTTTTTGCGTCGCCTCTGGAAGCCATTGAGTCTTTGCCATTTATTTRTAAATAATAAACCAGATAACGTATTAAAGCAGTGGTCCTGGTCTTCAAGGACTCCTGTCCTGTATGTTTTCAGGGGTGTCAAACTCAGGTCCTGAAGGGCCGCTATCCTGCATGTTTTCCTTGTTTCTTTGCTTCAACACACCTGATTCAGTGCTTCAATTGACTCAAATTCTGTAGAAGCCTGTTAATCACCCATTCATGCAAATCAGGTGTGTTTCAGCAGGAAAACAAGAAAACATGCAGGACAGCGGCCCTCGAGGACCGGAATTCGACACCTGTGGTTTAGATATTCTCCTGATTTGACACACCTGGTTTGAATGAAAGAGTGATTAAYAATCCTCTGAAGACCTGCTGAATAGCAGGGAAACAAGTAAAACATGAAGGAAAGGGATCCTTGAGGACCAGGGTTGGGAACCACTGATGTAATTGATCAGAAAATTATTACTTTTCATTAACATTTTTTTTCACAGATGACAGCTCGAAGACTTTAAACATTACTGATTAGCTGGTTAGCACACAGGTGGTTTAYGGGAGTCATGTGTTTCATGTCACTTTATTACAGCACTGCTGTAATAAACAGCTGACCCCACCCCTGTTGTAGTGGGGGTATCTGCAGTAGAAAGCTAAAGCTTGGGACTAAGTTAAGCTGTACTATAATGTGGAAAAAGCATTATAGAAGTCACAATAACTGTGGTATTTCTAAAACTCATCTTTTTAAAAGAAAAAGCTTCCYGTTTTATGTTTAATTTGTTTTGTTGTCACAGGCGACAGACGGTGACCAGCACCCCCTGCTGGATCGAGCTGCACCTGAAYGGCCCGCTGCAGTGGCTGGACAAGGTGCTGACTCAGATGGGCTCCCCAAACATCCGGTGCTCCAGCGTCTCTTAGAGACGCGCTTCGTCCTCTCATTCCCCGCGCACCTCGTGTCCTGGTCAGAKACTGGACGAGAACAACGACACACGAACTGAAAGATGATGAGACCCCGCCCTTTTATTCAGCTACTCGTCGCCCCCCCCCCCACCTGTTGTCAGGAGCACTTTTTATACACATTTTGTTTGTGGCAGAAGGGGACAAGTGCATTAATGTCGTACCATGTTAGTAGGAATGTTTTTCCAACTTCTTTTCGTTTATCATTGGTAATAAAAGACCAGACAGAATATAGATAATGGATCTTTCAAGTCAACATTTTCTTTCTTTCAATTAAATTTATTTTTTCCAATTTTTTTGTTTATATTTTAAGGAATTAATGAATTAATCCCAAATTTTGGGGTAAATACATTTCAGTGCTGTTTATATTTGGGCATTTGATAAGTTATGAAGATTTTTACAAATGTAAAACAGTGAGATGGACTGAAAGTGGTTTATATAAGGAAAACTTGTTTATCACTTGAAATTTTTTTTTAAAAATTATAAAGAAAAAAACTCCAAACAGAGCAAGGTCACTGACATTTTATGCAGCATGTGTTTCTTGAAAAGAGGCWAAAAAAATTTACATTTCACAGCATTTTTCAGCTTCGAAATAGTGACGAAACAAAAACAAGTTAAAATTGGGTTAAAACTTGTTTCTCCTGTTCAGACAGGTTGAGTATTTAGAATTGTATGTTTGAAATGTTGCGTTCAGAGGCTCCAGAGCGAGCACAGAGCAGCAGAAGTGTTTAAAAAACTTGACACAAGTACTTTGAGACAGTGAAGGTGAAGATCACCACAACGATGATGCACTTGTGTTAAAAGTTGATCAAACAGCACAGTGATGTTGAAAAAGCACTTCAGTCGGTTGTTCTTTAGGTGCTTGTGCAAAATAAATAATGTGCATAAATTTCAGGAAGCTTTGCCACAACTTCAGAGGATTGTTGCACCATTTTATGTTGTAGAAAATTCAAACAGGCCTTGAAAACAAATCGGATGCTTTAGTTTTCTTCGGACGTTGAAGCTCGACGAACTAATGTGAAGATGATCTGTGATGTGAACGGTTTGAAGTGGGGGAACAGGAAGTGTTTTGCTTCGTTAGCATTCTGTTGCTGCAGTTTGGTCTTAATTTTAGCCATACTGACCTCTCACACGGGGTTAAAAACAACAGCTGGAATATTAAAAACATAAACAACTGGTAGATAAGAATTAATACTTCTAAGCCCATTTTGTTACCAACTATTTTGGATGCTAAAGCGGTTGCTTCTTCAAGTTTTAAGTGCGTGACTCAACTGAAAGCCACTGCCGGCAGGTCTGAAATGAAGGCAGGTTTTGTTGGGAGCACAGCTTTACTCAAAGGGAATAATATAGATAAATAGACACGTGTATATAACCCCAGCTCTTAGAATCGGTTGTGTTTATTTTCAGGTTTATGTGCATAAAGTACATATGTTTTTCATTGTGACCATTTTAAAGTTGAAGGGTTTGGAAATGAAAGAACAAATAAATCAAATGGACATAATGCTGGCAAACGCTTTTCCTAAAATAGAACAGCAGTCATAGCGTTGGTCCCATTTCCTTGGAACCACCCACTCAGGTGGAAGTGGATCCGTTTCCTTCTGGTTCTATAACACTAGACAAAGGCTCAGTAGGCGAGCACGAACAACATGTTTATTTACGTTGACCTCTTCGTGTTAATGCCAGCCCATTGAAGCTCGTCTGTAACATTATAGGGACTCAAGGGTAAAGCTCAGAATAGTGAGATATTACCAATAATAAATATAAATAAAGAAAAGTTGGATTATTAAGCTGAAGACGTATGTGTGGAATTGTTTCAGAACCTGTAGCATCTACCAGTCTGAAACAAGCCGGCTCTCTTTAGAGCTTCTAGTGTCCTTGAACGCAGCAGTTCTGATTCTGTTAGGATCTCAAACTGCACGGTTAATGTAACTATACCCTATAGGGAATATTTCAAAAGTAAATTTATCTCTTTTTTAATACACTCTTCTGCAACTTATAGTGCTTATGTTTGTTTCTCCTTGTTCATCCTTTTTAAAGCATTAGCTGTGATTTACGCTCCCCTTGCTCTGAATTGTTTGGTTTTTTTTTTTAGATTTCTTGTATAAACCTAAACCTTTTATTTGTTTTTCCCCCCTGCTTATATAAAGTGGATGTGATGCTTTGTATTTTTGTCTTTTATTGTTGATTTACAAATAAAATGTAAAATTTGTGCTGAAACTGATGCGGAGAAGACTGTTAATAAGAAAATGAATGCAGTAATTAAATCTGATTTTAAGTATAGTTGATCTTTATTATGAACCCTGCACGTAAAGGGGAGTGGTCATATTGTTTTCAAACTGTTTACTTATTTTTCCAGAGATTTTTGGTCAACCGTAGCACAAAAACAGTAGGAACTTAGTAGGAATGTAGATGTGTCTGATCTACACTGCACCAGTTAACTGTTTTACGATAGACCCCATATTTGAGGAGGGGGCTCCACCTGAAAAGTGGGTGCCTGGATGTACAAAATTGTGTAGATCTCAAAAACTACTCGACATAGGAGCTTTTTTTTTTTTGCTGTTTAGCTCTGATGAAGGGCTGTCAATCAGGCCCACACAATGAGTGTCCTCACACCACTTACGGACCCCCACCCAAAACAATAAATCTGTTCTGATGACTTATGAGTTCTGGTGCATTGGTGTTTTATGTGCAGGGGTCATATATGCTACTGCTAGGTGGTATCTAGTTCAAAGTAGGACCTATTGAGGAAATCTAAACTGGTTTAATATTGTTTATTAATTTTAGATGTACAACTTCAATTTGAAAAAGGAGACATTGTGTAAAAGCAGAGGTTCACCAGTCTGAGAAAAAGCATCTGAAACAGGAATAACGTCTGAATAATGTTCCTCAACATAGATTTGTGCAGACTTGGATTATCACATCTCCTACAGTTCATATTAAGAAAACATTTCAAGAATCTAAACTCCATTTGCTGTGTTATCCATTAACGCTGGTTAAAGCTCCATCATGCAAAGAAGCCATATGGGAGCATCAAGCGAAAACACCACCGTCTTCTCAGGACCRGAGGTCATTTTAAACAGATCAAGGCTAAGAAGAAAACTAAAATCTAACTTTTGTTTTAGAAACCAAACGAGGCCTGTCTAACCAGGCCTGTTTGCTGCACACAGATCAAAACCCCGCCTCTAAGATGGTATAGGGGTATAGTAGCACCCATGACATGGACTGATAACACATTTAGAAAGACATGATCAATGCAGAAAAGTAAAAACATGTTTTAGCACATGTCCCACATAGCAGACAGGTAGCAGGTCTGTGGTTTGGTTTATGTGGTGTTGGCCCATGAACCGCCTCTGACAAAATACATATGGACCACCATTAGTTGAGACATCTGGACCAAGTGTCAGTGCCATGTGTGGGCCAGGACTGGAACAGACACATTTTGTCCAGACACTGTCTTTTCTGGGTTTAGATCCTGTCCGTTTTCTTATGTTGAGGTATATCTTCATCTGTGGTGGGCAGTTTGGGCTCAGGTAATGGACAGAAACAGTAATTACAGGCCTAAGCAGACACTATTGTTTCTTGTTACAAGATAAGTGAGTCCACAAACAGAGCTGCTGTCGCACACACACAAAGTCAGGCTTTGCAGTGAGTCCCCTCAGGTAAAGACGTCTGAAAACACCTCATTACGGTCACGCTTTGTGTGCTGGAGTTGATGAGAAGTATGAGAAACGTGAGCTCGTATCAGGAGCAGCTGAAGCTGGAGCAGAGACGCAGTCGGCCTTCACCCACAGTCTGCTCCATGATTCCTTCTCCAGGGAAGCTTCAATAATTAACCACAAGGTTCCAGGAGTCAAACTCAGAGCAAACATGAATCATTGACAGAGACTGGAAACGTGAGAGCCAGAGCTGTCTTAACAAGAATAGATAAACGGGTTCCTCAGAGACCAGTCCTGTTTTTAGAGGCATCAAATATTTATTCAGATCACTTTAAAGTGGTTTTCCTCAACATTCGACTTAAAATAAGTGAAAACTGGGTCACTCCTCAGGTTTAAATTTAAACAAATGAACAGTTAACATTATTAATGTAATTAAAAGTTGTTCTAATCATATTTACAAGATAAAAAGTAATTGTCTAGTTTAAGTTCAATTCAACTAACACAAATCAGCAGAACTCAACACTGCCATCTGTTGGCTGAAAGAATAATGGCAAGACAGATTTGTTTCATATAAATTGTTTTTTCACTTTTTTAAGTGTTTGACTCTGTTCTTAAATCGTTTTGATCAAAATCATTAGGTTACATTCTCTGAACAATTTATTCTCTTGTTTCATTAAATTGTATGTAAAATGTTCATCACAGAGTCAGTTAGGTTTAGTTCTTATTCATTTTGAAATGATCTTAGCAAGTGTTTTTGATCCAGTTGTAACAAAGGTTTAAATAATTTGTGGCTTTATAAAATAAAAGTAATCATGAAGATGCGCAGAAACAGCATGTGCGTATTTTAAACCAAAGAATTGAGCCGAAACATGAGATTCCTCAAGTTTTCTCCTTTTGTTTTAAACTTCCAACAATATCTCCTCATTTTATTTTATTTTATTTTTCTTTAGGTCTTGTTGCTGTGCACTTTAATGTTTTTCTTTGCTGAAGTCTGTGGTCTGTCTCTGAGCTCTTGGAGCTTAAAGCTGTTCTTACAATGAAACCTTTGACTATTTTCCTGGTAGTTGTTTGAAGTTAGATTATGTCAGCTGTTTTTAAACTTTTATTGTTCATCTTCTAATACAGAGTAAAGGAATGATGTATGATGAAGATTCAATCCAATTTTCCTTAGATTGATAATTTTTACTAATTGGCTTTAATAATGTTTGTGAATGGTTTTGTACGGTGAGACGATGTTCATTGTGACTAAGTGCTATAAGCTGAAATGAAACTGAAGTGTAACATGTTTTACTTTTAAAGTGCCTGTGACACACCTATCCTTCAAATACAAAAAAAGTCATAGAAAACATTTTTCTACTTAAAAAAAATTGGCATAGTACACATGATTTTACCCATTTTATCACATAACTGGTATATTTTCTTTTGACTTTGGCTCAGCCAAGGTGAAACAGGAAGTGACATCAAAGGAGAACTCATTAACAAAACAAATTATCTGGTCTTTTTTTATTGAAACAAAACTATTTGAACTTTAACTCTTCTTTGTCTGTCTTTGATAGCGACTCAAAATAATCTAAAGAAACACCAGATTATTCTCGACAGTCTGTGTTGTTAGCTTTTGTTACAACGCTCTGTTTACATGCAGACGTTCCCCTTTGACATCACTTCCTGTTTCTTCCCACGCAAATATCTCAACAACCGTTCATCTCAGTGGCGTGAAATTTGTTTTGCAACACGTTATCAATGTTATCTTTCCAGAAATGCATTAAAGTTGATTACAAAACTCCGATGCCACAAGCCCTTTAAGAAACAAAATTGACTTTTCTCAGAGTATGYCTATTCCACAGGCTAAGGGACCAACACTGAATATTCTGTCTCCTCTGGTCCTAAACATGGATCTGGGAACATACAGGGTGAGTCAAAAGACTAAGGACATGTTTTTGTTTCAGAAAGAAAAGGGAAAATGACATATCTTAATTCCCCAGTGAGTAATAGGTGAGGGGGGCTAACTTTGRAAAAACTTGCCCTTGATCCAGTTTGGTGGTTTATGACATGGCAGCCATGTTCTGAACATACACTAAAAGATAAACCTCCCACACTCATTACTTGCTGGTGTATTCAAACATGTCACCCCCCCCCCCCCCACCCCTTTTTTTAAATAAAAGTGTGTCCTGAGACTTTTGACTCACTCTGTACAAAAGAAGCTGGTGTTTGGATCTCAGCGCTTTGGGTGGCTTCTCACATTGTAAAAGTCCTGAAAGACAAGGTGGGCCCCAAACCATAAGGACGCTTTTAAAAAAAGTAATAAAAATCCGAATTCTGAAATGAACAGGAAGCCTGTTATGAGAGGGTGAGCATGTYTTTTCTTTCCTGAGTGTGTTACACAACATTCAACATGACATATTTGACATTCTTATGATGCAACATTTATCGTCAGCATGGGATTAGTGAAACATACCGGAGTAAAGAACAGTTCTTTGTACCTGCACTCTGCTCAAAATGCTGTATGTATCCAAGCTCTAAAAGGCCTAGGTCCTTTATACATCTCTGCTCTCCTGCGTTATAAACCATCAATACCTCGGAGGTCATCTGGATCAGATCTGCTTTCTGTCCCCAAACATGCAGAAGCTGCATTCAGCTTTTGTGCTCTATGTGGAACAAACTCTCAAAAAAACTGCCTGTCTGCTCCAACTGAGAGTTCATTTAAAATGCACGTGTCAAACTCAAGGCCCGAGGGCCAAATGTGGCCTGCCACTGCATCTTATGTGGCCTGAGAGAGCTTCAAACATAATGTCTTAAAATAAGCATATGGTGCTTTAAAGCCAGCATTAACCATAAACTACATCTCCAATAATGCATGTTGATTATTTAACCTGAAAAATAAAGTAAACTTTATTTATATAGTAAGTAAACTTTATTTATATGTAAGTAAACTTTATTTATATAGCCCGTTTCACAGGTCAGAAACCACAAAGTGCTTTACAAGAAAACATAAAAACACAAGAGATAAAACAGGATATATACAACAGACATACATGTGATAAAAACGTTGCACATGTTAAAAATAAATAAAAGATTAAACTAATGACTAATTAATTAAAAGCCAATCTGAACAAACGTGTCTTCAGCTGCTTTTTGAAAGTTTCAAGCAAGGGTGGAGTGGGTAATCGGGACAATCGGGACGAATCCCGCTGGGCCGGACCATTAATGGGCCGGTCCGCTGGGCGCAGTTAGTACGGGGATGATAGGACGAAAAAAACCTCAGATCAAAACTGATGATGAACTTCTGTTAGTTCACTGACGCTCCCACAGAGCTGCAGCAGCAAACAGCCCGCTCCCCCCTCCCCTTTTCACACACAGAGCTGGAGGAGCAGCCCGCTCCCCCCTCCCCTTTTCACACACAGAGCTGGAGGAGCAGCCCGCTCCCCCCTCCCCTTTTCACACACAGAGCTGGAG